AGAGACGTGTGTGTGTGTGTGTGTGTGTGTGTGTGTGTGTGGGAGGAAAGAGATATTTCTGTATTCACTTCTAGGAAATCACTGTTGCAGGCTCTGAGAATCCAGAAACCATCCCAGCAGAAAACTGAAATCAGTCACTGGAGAGATGGGCCTTTGAAGTAAATGGGCATTCTGAGAGGCAACACATGCCTACTCTCTACCCTTGGTGGTTCCAGGAGCTGGGTCTTGCTTCAACTCGGCATAGGCCATAATTCTGGGAGGCCGACCTGAGTATAGAAGGCTTTCTCTGATACGTGCAGCTTCTATTGTGTAGAGGGATGGGGGTGGGAACATGGGAAATTGGAATGCTGCCAGTTCCATGGTTTTTTGCCCTTTTTTTTCTTTTTTTTAAGTGAACCTGAAAACACTTTGTGACCTTTCTGCTGTCTCTTTGTGTGCTGGTAGGCAAATGTGCATGCACACCAAATAAGAGCATGTGTGTGAGGGAAGCAGGAAATGTCTCAGAGCATAGGAACCATGTTTTACAGTTTCTTTGATCAGCAACACTTGGTGAACCAGGCCCAAGAGGGGGAGGGCTGATGATAAGAAGCTGGGCAGATCAGGCCTAGGCATTTTCTCTCATTGTCTTCCACAGAATGTTTTCAAGGGCTTCGCAAGCCCCATCCATCTGGTTTAGCCTAAGTTCTCAGCCTGGGAAACACAGTACTGCTTAGTGATTCAGGATTACCATTTGTAGTGATTCTTGATTTCCCTTACTTAATTTCTTTGTAGATAAAAATTGAACAGGGACAAAGTAGCTATTTAAGAAAGGAAATAAGTGAACTATGTTGGGTCCAATTATTTTCTGCAGATTGGATTACCTGCAAAGTCCTCACCTCTTTGAGTTGTGCTTCTTAAGCATGTATCTCTTCATCTCCTGACTTAAAGATAACTCTGATTCTTAGGAACTCTCTTCCATAGGAATTAGTGTGTGGAATCTCTTTATACTTCTGATTCACAACTAAATATGAAATTTCCCACTCCAGGAGCATGAAGCAAAGAGCTGGGATAAAGTTTGCTGATTGGTTGAAACACTTAAGCAAACCAGTCTGGGTGGGACTATCACTCCCAAAGCTGTCAGCAGAGAAAGGCCCTCTGTATCAGTCTATTCAAAACTGGCATTGCTCTGGAATTGAGTCCTCATCCCATGGGGAAGGTCTTCTGGGGGCTTTACATTCCTTGCTACTAGTGTTCCTGGATACCTCTTTTACTTCCCACTTCCTTTTGATTTCTCAGAAGACCAGTCTCTCTTCTGAGCCATTGCCTTCTGTGTACCCAGATAAGAGCTAAGTGGCTCTTCCCCCACCAAAACTCCTGAGGTAAGTTGTCCTTTCCCCCATAGGACCCCCAGGAGGCCTTCTGTCTCTCTGCTGACTGTTCCCAGGAAATCAGCACCTCAAGGCCTGAGAATGCTGCACTCTCCACTGATCACCTTCAAACTCCGTTCCTCTCCTACTGACTCTTTTGCCTTGTGTATTCTGCTCTGACCCCTTAATGTCTGTTCTGTGCTTACTAGCTGGCCTTTCATGAAACCCAAGTCTTATAACGATGAACTTCCTGAGCAGGCATTGTCCACCTTTGCTCTTCAGGGACCTGAGTCTGCACCTTTCCCCTCTTGCAGGTCTATTTGATACTGTAATCTAGTGCATTGGGGAGGGTAAGCCAGGCAGGCTGCAAAGTCTGTACTACAGAGGGCTGGGGGAGGTTTGGGTACTCTCTGCTACCACTACTGGGATGATATGTTCAGAAGAGAGGGGACCTCATACTGTGACCTGACCCAGGACCCTCCCTGGAAGAGAGCTCAGCCCAGCTGTGTGTGTGTGTGTGTGTGTGTGTGTGTGTGTGTGTGTGTGTGTGCACGTGCATATGTGAGAGAGAATGTGAGAGAGAGAGTGTGTACCTGTGTGTAAAATGACTGTTATCTGGTTGTGTTACTCAGGGTGGGCTGGGGACTCACCAGAAGAATCCCCCCCAGCCTGCCCAAGACAGGTTTTTTTCCTTGTACCCTCTTCAGAGAGGTCAGGGGAAGAGGGTCCAGGTGGGTTGAGGGGGTCGCAATGGATAACCACTAAGGCTACACTGCTGCCAGGAAGAGTAGGGGGAGATGAGGTGGGCACTTGGCTTTGGTTTTCCGTCTTCTTTCCTCAGGACGCCCTGAGGCCTGGGGCCTGCGCCTGGCTTTTAGGAGCATCTGTAGCTGGGTGATCCCACTGCTGGTGTGACCATGGGCTTCCCTCCTCTCTCAGCAGGGCAGGCACTCCTGCCCCAGAGACTGGGCAACTGGCTGTTTCTATGACGTATTTATTTTTACTTGTGTTTCATGTCACTTTTTTAAAAAAGCAAACAGAACAATTGTAAGTCAGTATAACTGCCTATCAGTTTTCTTTATTTCTCTTTTTGTAAAATAAAATTTAAACTCAAGAAGGAATGGTCTGGATAGCTGTGTGGCTGGGTAGTGGTGAAAGGACTATAACTTAGAGCATAGTGGGCACTGGGATAGCACTTGTGGGGTGAGACAGGCGGCAATAGAAGGAAGACTGCTGACAGGCTTTTTCTGCTTTTGCTCACCTGAAGAGGGCTGCATTTCCAGGTTCTAGGGGAAGCAGCAAAGCTAACTTAGAGTGGGTTGAGGCTAGTTGGTCCTCAGCCATGGCAAGTCCTGCAGGGGCAGCCCTGGCTAGACTGCGAGTGGCTGGGGATTGGACACAGCACCAGTGCCTTCAGAGGGTGGGATATGGTGTGTCTGTTAGTGGCCGGTGGCAGAGTATTCTTTTTTTGCAGAGTATTCTTACACTATATTTGTGTCCTCTGATTGTCATGTGAGGGGATCTAGCCACTGACTCACAGAGAGCTAACCAGGGCTTTGAAGTGTGAAGGGATGGGGGAAGGAGGGGACAATCCACTTCGGCTCCCCAAATTTAATTTCTTTAATGAGAGGAGGAGCCCTGGGGAAACATTCTCTGGAAATTTATAAAGGGAGAATTAAAAAGCCTCTATGGGATTCCTTGGACAGAGGAAGGTAGGAGGAGACAAAGGCCTAGTCTGGGCTCCTGGTAGGAGAATAGGTGCTATTGAGAGAACTGGGAGTGGAGTGTGGGTGGGGCAGATGTCTGCTGGGTGAGCAGATCTTCTCAGACCTGTTACAATAGGGATGGGGGGATGGGTGAAGAAAGTTCCTTGCAAAGTGGGCTGCTGCCTTCTGGTGGCCAGCTGAGGCCTTGCAGGGATCCTGCCAAGGGTGGTGCTTGCAATGCTGGAAGCAGCCCGAGATGAAGCCTGGCAGGCTGATGGTCTGCAGACCCAGTCCCAGTCTCCAGCAGTCTCTCCTTACACAACAGAGGTGTGGAAGGTCCTAAGGCACACTCTGAACTCTGACGTGGGGTGCTGGAGTTCCCCAATCAGACTAAAGGAAGTGAGCCGAGAGGACAAGATGAGGAATGGGCAACTCTAGACAACGGTTTCCTGGGAGAAGCTCATTAGCTTCTGAGAAGCGGAATTGACTGTTCAAACGCTGCAAGCAGAGATTGTCTGTCTCTGAGCCGGTGCCATAGCCCCTCCTTGTGTCATAGGAAATGCTTCCAACGGTGTAGCCCACCTGCCTGGGGCACCTGAGGGCTTGGTTACGTGCCTGACGTTCATAGGTAAAACAACTGCCACGACCTGCGCTGGCCCATCCCCGAATGCCTGTGGAGCCTGCTCCCCACTCTGCCAATCTGCCCAGAGGGCTGGGACAGGCCTGGCCTTGTGGATGAGGTTCAATCTTCCCTGCCTTTGGAAGGAAGAATGTGAAGCAGAGGGAAAGGAAGCCAGGGTTACGACGGTCTCTGTGTGCCCAGCCTGCCCTTTGCTAGTGCTGTAGTTGGATCTACAAGAAGATGTACCAACCGTGGCTGCTGATTTTTTTCACCACCACCTTCCTGGTGTCCCGGTCAGAATGATCTCCCTCCCAAACACCAATCCTTGTCAGGAGCACCAAGATAGCTCTCTGACCAGCCTGTCTTGTAGCTGAGTTTATGAGCATAGTTGTCACCTTTCTCACCTCCTCCACCAGAGTCTGGGACTCTCAGAAGGGCAGAGTTTTATCTTTGAACCCCTAGCAGGGTGCTTTACAGTTTGCAGGTCCTCAGAAATATGAGCTGAAGATGGCACCGATCATCAAGGATCTTACTCTTGACCTGGGAGTTACCTGATTATTGCTAAACCCAAAGGGTAGGCCAGCCTTCCCCAGCCACAGCTTGGGGCACTGAGGGAGGAGCTGGGAAGGGGACATTCCCGGGGAACTCGAGCTCCAGGAGGGCGGGGCCTTGATTTTTTTGTTCACTCAGTATCCCCACCTCCTAGAACTGTCCCGGCTGGGAGTGATACTTAATAAATGTTGGATGAATGATCACCCCTTTGTGGTGGGTGGAGGCAGGAAGCGCCATCCACAGGTAGAATCCACCATCTCCTTCCCTGAATCTGGATGGGGCTTCAGCTTCCTCAGCTATAAAACGGGAGCAAGTGGCTTTGTCTTGCTTGGTTCCCAGGTTTGCTGCCAAGCCTCAGTGAGAGGAAATGGCAGGACTAAAGGTGGCACAAATGCCAGAGGCTAATACTACTGTGCTGCGCTTCCTTAACCTGTACAAACGCTCCCTTTGGCCCTCTACTCCAGGCCACTGGGCTAACTTCTCCCCAGCGCCTGGGGCTGGGCTGTTACTGGGGTGCTCCCGCCAACCCAGATCCCCTGGGGTGTTGCTAAATCACCGGTAACCGGGCAGTTTGTTGGAGGCGGAAGGTACGCGGTAGGTCCAGTCCCAGCCAGTTCCAGGCGATCCGCGCACGCCCGTTGCCATGGAGATGGGGCGGGGCAGGCCTCCGCCCTCCGAGTCCCGCGCGCACGCGCCCACGGCCACGGCCACGTTCCGCCGCGAGAGGGGGCGGAGCGAGCGTGCGTGTTTGGCGCGCGCAGGCTCCACGACCCCGCCCGAGCCGCCTGCGCGGATCGGCGTCCGCGGCGGGCGGCTGCTGAGGTGAGGGCTGGGCTAGAGGGGAAGCGTCCCCGCCGGGGCGTGGGCCTGGGACCCCCCCCCGACCCCCGGCGTCCGTCCTGGCGCGACCTCAGGGCTCCCTGCGTCCCCTCCTTGAGCCTCTCTTTGCATCTTGTCTCTCCCACAGTTGGCCCGGGCCGAGACGCGACCTTGGGTCAGCCCCTACCATCCTGGGCGGCCCACTGCTTCGGCCGCCGGTGCAGGGCACGCCCCAGGGCAGTGGAGCTAGGGGGGAAAACAGAGGCTGGAGTCGCGTGTAAGTCCGCCTCCATTCCCCAAGGCCGCGCCTCGCAGCCCAGGCTGCAAACTTTAGCGTCCCTAAGTTACAGGCATCCGTGGGGTTCAGTGAGGTTGTGGGCGAAGAGAGAGGGGCTGAGTAAATAGGCGAGGCTCAGTGTGAGGAGGGGCCCCCTCCTCTCCGTGCGGGCCCCTCACAGTCCCCGTCTTCCCGCTCCCCGCTAGCGCCCAAGTTTTGTTCGCGGCGGGGCCCTTTAAGGGCCCGGCCCTCCGCCGCCACGCACGTGAGCGGCGCCAGGAAGCCCCACCCGACCGGAGGCGTCCTTACCGGGCCTCTGATTGGAGGGGAAACCGAGGCCTGAGAGATGGCACAGCCTGCCGGTGGTCGCAGAAGGGACTGTCAGCTTCATGTGTGGTGGCTGGAGCCCTCCAGGAAGAGGGACATGAGCAGAGCCTTAGTGAAGAGCCCTGACATTGTTAGGCAGAGTTTGGCTTCTGATTTCCCCAAGGGGTCAGAGAATGGGGTGGGGGTGCTTGTAGAAACCCCGGAGGGCATTCCCTGAAAAGGGGATAGTCAAGACATGGTACCTGGCTCAGTGATTATTTTGGGCTGGGGTGACTGTTCCTTTCAGCTCTCAGCACTGGAGCGCTTGGCCCCTGCCACACTGGATGCCATGAGTTGCTAAAAGTGAGCCTGGCTTTTCAGGTGAGCCTCCCCTAGCCCTTCTCCTTCCTGTCCTCTGATATATGGGGGAAATTCACATTGCTCCCCCTTCCCCTGCTGACCAAAGCTTTAAGGCCTGCAGGTGCATTTTTTCCACTTTCTGAGCATTTCGGAAGGTGAGAGAAAGAGAAAAGTGGGGACTAAATTCCCTTGAGGAGACTGGAAGTGTGCAGCTGAGAGGGTAGGTCACTCCCAAGGCAAGTGGTGGCCTAGATGATGAGAGTTTTCCAGCCAAGGGTTTAGAGGTGTCCAACGTGGATTAAGTGCTTGGGCCTTTCTGGAAGCCACATACCAGGGAGGAGAGAGAAAGCAGAAGTGGAAGCTTGGAGCCAGACCACCTGGGTTCCCATTGCGTGTGTTTTTGTCCGGGTGGTCTGTTTAATACCTGTGTGACCTTGGATGAGTCCCTTAATCTCCAACCACTTGTATACTGATCCATACCTCCCTTGTTGGATTGTTTTGAGGATTAGTAAAGTAGTCGTGTTTCAGCACTTAGACACTGCCTGGCACATAGTAAGTGCTCCATGGAAGATTTATCATCTTCATTATTATCAAAGAAAACAAGAATGAAACTAATGAGACAAGATGAGTAGGACAGGGAACACATGCAGAAAAGACAGTGATACTGATGCGTAGGAGCACAGATGGGTGAGAGGACCAGTAGGAGGCACCTCAAAAGTTTAGAAATTTACTTCACTTCTTTGTGAGGCAAATGCTATGTGCTCATTGACTCTAGTGACAATTTTTCAGTATAAAAACACCCAAAACCCATAAGGAACAAATAATTCCATAGAGCTAAGTTTTCCACAGGGCTTGCAGCGTTACCTTTTCAGCTTCAAAACCTTTTCAATTTTAAATATTAATTTTAAATAATTGGAGTGGGAATGCTTCCCCAATGGGTCGAATGTTTCCCTTTCTCTTTAAACAGTCTTTTCTAGGCTATGATTGTTTTTTCCCTGAGCAACTCAGATCAAGCCCTCTATGTAAGAGAGCTAGGCCTCTACCCCAGGCTGTCTAGAGGCCTAGGTGGTCTGCCTCGAATGGCTCACATACTGGCCTCTGTGTCATGTTCCTGGGCCTGCTCTTATATAGCTTCTCTGACTCTTATGGTAACTATTCTTCCTGTTGTGTGTTTCCACGTCTAGCAGCCTCCTACTCCTTGCTGTTTCTAGTCTTCTATGGGCTAGAAAAGTAGGATGAAGCTTGTTAACATTGTTGGTTCAAGTCTGGGAAGCTTAGTGCTGGACTTTATTCTGGCTACTCAGGCTGTTTTTCTCAGGTCTCTTCTGGTTCTGGATGGGTGAGCTTGCTGGATAGCAAGGTCCCTGCGGGCCAGATATACTTAGCAAAGGAGAGGCTTCTATGAAATTCTCTTCCTGAGGCATATTTTCCCCTGGGGTTTTGTTCCTCATGGTTTTCCTGTTTATTAGTAAGTGTTTGAACCTTGGTGTTTGCCCATCCTCCCCCTGGCAGTGGTCCATGAGGCTTGGAGAGGCTGGACTGGCAGTGTGGTTCAGCTGTGGGAAGGAAGAGGCAATGTGGAGGAAAAGCAGGCTGGCAGGTATCTGGCCCATCTTAGGGGAGACTGGTCAGGGCCAGGAGTATGTGCTGGTTGATTCACTCCTCTGCCCCTCTATGATTCAGTTTCCCCAGGTATGACCAGGGTTGCCAGCTGACATAGCTGCTCTGAGAGCTTCTACAACTGTGATTAAGAAATAAAGAGGCTTGTGGCTTCAGTCATCCTTTGTAGCTCCCTTCTAGGTCACTCTGTGTATAAACACCTCTGGCCCCTCCCCCTCCTGGTTAGAGTACCCAAGGCAGGGCTGAGGTCGGGCCAGAACTGGTTGGCGGGCAGCTGGGTACATTGGTCAGAGCAGTCTACCAGCCTCCTCTCCCTTCTCTCTCTTTTGCAGCTCCTTGGGGGTGTGGGGGACCCAGAGCCATGTCGGACCTGCTACTACTGGGCCTGATTGGGGGCCTGACTCTGTTACTGCTGCTGACTCTGCTGGCCTTTGCCGGGTACTCAGGGCTGCTGGCTGGGGTGGCAGTGAGTGCCGGCTCACCCCCCATCCTCAATGTCACTGTGGCCTACAAGTTCCACCTGGGGCCCTATGGCGAAACTGGACGGCTTTTCACGGAGAGCTGCAGCATCTCCCCAAAACTCCGCTCCATCGCCGTCTACTATGACAACCCCCACATGGTAAGGAGCCTCCATGGAGTTCCACCCATGGATGGACCTGGGCCAGGGCTTATTGAGGGAAGGGAGATTTGGTTTCTGAGGAAAGGGTAGGAAAATCTTTGGGCTGGCCCTGCAGACCCCTTCTCTGTGAGCTTGAAGACCCTTCCATGTTTAGCCTGGGCTTTTGCTCCAGGCACCTGTTTGCTGGCTTTCTACTTGCCCAGGCCTGTTTCCTCTTGCTCTTGGCTACTCATCGATTTCTGAATGCAGTGGACCACACCACTGAGTCCTTAGCTTCTGCCAGTTCTTTAGTCTCCTGTCTCTTCTTCTTGCCGTCCCTCCCTCTTCCATCTCCATTTGGGGCCAGCACTCTAAGGCCAGACCATTGAGATTCTGCCCACTCTGAGGTTACATCTTGTTGTTTCTGTGCTTTTTTCCCCCCTCAGCTCTCCTGCTGTGGATATAGGCCTTCAAGGGCTAAGAGGGCAGCCCCTGGGAATAGGGTTTGGAATCCCACCTCTTCAGCCATTTTGGTGCCCTCTGACCCAGTCATATGGTGTTTCCTTAGATCTCAAGCTGCCTGGTTGGTAGAGGGCCGGGGGTAGGGGGGCACATAGAGCTGGATGAGCTGCTTAGAGGGTGCCGGTGTCAGAGACTAACCCCGCATTGCTAGCACCCTGTGGGTGTCTGGCTGTAGTTACGGCATCTGATGAGTCAAGGCTTGCCAATGTAGTCTCCTGCCATGCTATGGGGTGGTGCTGCCCACAGCTGGATAGGCTGACAGCTTTGTCAAGGGTTCTTCAGCCTCTGATACTGAGCCATGCCAAACCAAGCATTTGGAATCCCCAGCTCTGATTTCCTTGCCTGGAGAGATCAAGTGTACAAGCCTTACAGCCTACCCACTGTCTGCTGACCAGACCTCACTGGGGAACTTAGTTGAAACAAGGGTGTGCTGATTCCCTCTCTGTGCCAGGTTCTGCTCCACACCTGCACTCTGGAGATGAATCAGACCTGACTTTGCCCTCAGGAAACTCTGTGTGGTTGGCACATCAGCCCCACACAAATGATTTTTCAACAAGACACTGTGCTCAGTGTCCATAGAACTTTGAGCTGTGGGTTCAGGGAGGGTTGTCACAAGTCTGCTGGGAGGCTCAGAAAGGAGATGGATTTTAGCTGGGCCTTCTCATGTGATTAGAATTTTGCTCCATCAGTAAGGCCTGCAAGAGCAGGGCCTGGAGATATGGGGTGACAGAAGTGTGGCCAGTGGACATGTGGTAGGTTGAGAAAGGTGGAAGGGTTTGCTGAGCCAGGTGGTAGGGAGGTACAGTAGGTTGGGAGGGTGGGAGGAATGGTGCAGCACAATTTGCCCTCTTTGGGTGTTTTCTTTTCTTTCTTTTCTTTTCTTTTTTTTTTTTTTTTTGAGACAGAGCCTCTCTTTGTTGCCCAGACTAGGGTGCTGTGGTATCAGCCTAGCTCACAGCAACCTCAAACTCCTGGGCGCAAGCAATCCTCCTGCCTCAGCCTCCTGAGTAGCTGGGACTACAGGTGCACGCCACCACTCCTGGCTAGTCTTTTCTATTTTTAGTTACCCATCTAATTTTTTTCTATTTTTAGTAGAGACGGGGTCTTGCTCTTGCTCAGGCTAGTCTTGAACTCCTGAGCTCAAAGAATCCTCCCGCCTCAGCCTCCCAGAGTGCTAGGATTACAGACGTGAGACACCCACCGTGTGGGCTTCCCCTCTTTGTTTTAGGAAGCTAACTGAAGGTTAGGTGGAGGAGGGAAGGAGAGGAGAAAGGGAGGCCATTGAAGAGACTGGGTTGGGCCCAGCCAGGTGAGTGGTGATATCAGCTGGTTGAGGAATGAGGAGACATTGTCTGAGGTTTTGCAGTCACATGACTGGCAGATGGCACTAACTGAAGTTAGGAGCACTGGGGCCTGAGTGGAATGAGGCAGGCAGTGGGCTTTAGGAAGCCCCTAGACCAGATGCCTGACCCCCACCCCTGCAAGGGTCTGTTGTGTAAGTCCCTCCTCCTCCTGTGCCCTCCCCTGATCCCTGTCCCTCCTTCCACACCTGGCCCAGGTGGATCCCTGTGCAAAACCCCAGTGGGAGGGAGGAGAGTCCTTATGGCTGCTTCTCTTCATCAGCATGTCTGCCTGTTCTGGAGTCAGCACATTGCCTCTTGGGTCGAAGGTGCTAATTCCAGGGTGGGAAGGGGCCAAGGCAGCAGGGTACCCCGGGGTCAGTGCTGGAGGCAGGTCCAGGGAAGAATGAGATAGAAGAACCCTGGCATGGGTTACCCTCCCCGTGGTCTGGCCTAGCCACTGCCTCCAGGCAGCCCACCATATAGCTTTCCAAGAGATGTGGTGGACCCCATGGGGTAGGCCCTCAGTGTCCAGGGTTGGCCGGATCTAGTCTGTATTGGGTGCTGGTCTGGGAGAACCATGGTCAGAGAACACAGCCATGATGCTGGCGGTCCTGGGTTCTGATTCTGTCCCATCATTGTCCTGCTCTGTGATCTTAGGCATGTCACATACCTTTTTAAGTGTCTATTTCTTCATCTGCAGAGTAGTGATAAACTACCTGCTTCATAGATAGGCTGGTAAGAGTTAAGTGATATAGGTGAGGCAATTCACACCAGCACCTAGCCCTCAACAGATACTTAACAACAACAAAGAAAAGGGTGGGAAAAACACTCATACTATACTAGCATGTGCTGAGGGGTCAGGCTGAGCAAGCCTAGGCCCTTGGCCTGGCTGTGGACATCTGGCTGGCACAGAGGATGACTGAAGAGGTCAAGGTGGTGCCTCGGACCCTGCCCCTCCCAGTCCTGGGTCATTCCAAAAGACACCTGTATCCCCATTGAGAGCTAGGTCACACTGGCACCTGGGATGGTTCAGGGACACTTGGGTCCCCACCTACTCTGGGAGTTGGGTAATACATTCTCTGCCTGGCAATGATTATAACAGGTTCAGAGGACCATGGACCCCCCCCAGGCTGTAGGTGCTTATGGTTATCATAGACTCTCTGGTCTGTAAAGCCCTGAGGCCGCCTGGTCCGCACTCCTGATATTATGGAGGGGGAAACTAAGGTTCTCATAGCAGGAGTGAGGTATGGATCTCACACTTTCTGTTTTCATTCAGCAAATGCTTGAGTACCTGATCTGTGCCAGGCTCTGTACTGGGCCTGGGGTACCATGGGGACCAAGGGTCCCAACCCTCAGAACTTCTTAGTGTGGGGATGTCAGATGGGAGCCTAGAGGAGAGGCCTCATCCTGGTCCTGGGGTAGGCTGAGAACCCAAGCTTTCCGCTCCCTAGGCTGCCTTCACCAGCAGTGTGCAGCATGGGGCCCTGCATGTTCTGGTCCTCAGAGAAAGACAGGATATAGGCTGACTTGTTGCGTGTCCCATCCGCACTGCTCCTGGCACAACAGGAGCCAGAATCTGCTTCTCTGTGAGTGTGGGGAGGAAGTGAGGCTATTTCAGGCTGTGTGAGTGGGGCAGTGAATAACCAGGTTAGAAGTGCGACCTGGCTCTGGATGCTGCCCACCTCCATGAGGTGTGTAGACTGACAGCTCCCTAGCATACCCCTTCCTGACCTCAGCTGGGCATAGGAGAGGCCTTAGAAAGGCTTGAGGAAGCCACACCTAGGCTGGGTGTGGGTCCAGAAAGTGGCACAAGAAAGGATACCACCAGTGCAGAATAGTGGCAGTTGCTGTGGACCCTTTCATATTAGATGCTGCTTGAGCTATTAGTCCTATGTGGAAAGAGGCTACAAGATCTGGGAAAGTGCTTCCTGTAAGGCAGGAGGAAGCATTTCATTCCTCATCCCTGAAGGCCTTGGGATGATTGGGAGTAGGGAGGGTAGAAGGAGGGAGCATGTGTTGGGAAGTGGACAGACCCTGGCAGTGGCTTATAGGTGCCCTGTGCCCCAGGGTTCAGCATTCATGCAGTGCAGGCTGTTTTCTCTTCAGAAAGAGGAACCTGAGAGGGGGAGGTGGATATCAGTCACAGATCTGTGCTTGCACCCCTAATTCACACATATACTCTGTCCGCACTGCCCTTGCATAGCTGAGGAAGGGTCCTGGTTAGAAAAATTCTAAACTAAATTCATCCCTGCCTTTGAAGTGGGTGCTAGGGGTTTGGAAAGTGACTTTCGCCTCCCCTCCTGGGCCTGGTCCCTCTGGGAACCTTCAGTGTTAGAGGGGAAGGAAGGAGCTGGGAGGGCCCTGAGTGCCTTGCCTGATTCTAGCCACCTCTAGCCTGATCCTCGCCAGCTTTAACCTGTGAATAGGGAACCTGGTGACTGGGCTGCTGTCACCATGCCAGTGGATCCATCCTGCTTGCCAACCTGGCCCTCTGCCTCCAGCCTGACCCTCTGCTGCCACCCCCACCGCTACTGTTGTGTTTGGGGCTTAAGCAGCCCGCCTGCTTGCCCTTGTGGGGAGCCTGGCTGAAACAAGAGGGACATGGCAGCCAGTTCGGTTTACCTGGCCAAGGTGGACCTGTATTTGCTGCTTACATCTACCACCTAGTAGCGAGCGGGTGCTTGCCCCAGGCATGGAGTGGGAGGGGCAACTGGTGGCACTCTGGGTTCTGCCTTTAGTAAGCTAGACTGCCATTGAAGCCCCCTCTTCTCCTTAGTCCACTGAGAATCAAGGCCTGGGGCCAGCAAGTCTGTAGGGGCTGAGGCTGGTGAGAGTTCTGGGGTAGGCCTCTGCCATTCTCTGCCTTCCCCCTCAGTGTGTGTGGGGATGGGGCCCTTCAGCCCTCCCTGAAGACACTTCCTGGAGGTCCGGGAAAGGGTGAGGGAGTAGAATTTCCCAGGATCCTCCACAAGAACAATGGGAATATGGGCTGGGCTGATGTTTTCTGAGGGCCCAGGCTCTCCCCTATGCCATTACCACATGGTTATTTTTCTGCCAGGTGGAGTCCAGGCTTTGCCCTGCAGCAGGTTAACTGTGTGGGATAGGTCTGGAAGGGCGAGCGCCTCTAGAACCACCTTTGGAAGGGAGGTGAGATGA